AAAAAAAAAATGGAAAAAAATAGCTTGGCATGCATAATACTTCATATAATATCACATTACAGTTTAGATTGCATAACTAGCCATACAATTCCCCAGCCTGTCGCCACCTGATTATTTTTCTCGCTTTTCTTTTTAATTGCGAGTGCGGACTATCAATCGATTGCATAAATCCATCCCGTAAGACAGAGAAAAGCTGAGGTGTGTTTTTCTCAGCCTCGTCAGGAGACCCAAATACGTAGCAAACCCATCTGTTAAAACACCATGTGCAGATTTTTTTTTTTTTTTTCATTTGCATCCTGTATTTCAGTTGGTAGCTCGTTAGGGAAATAAAACGAAAACAAAGAAAACAAATCCTCGCAGCTCGGATTTCAGAGGGGCGAATTCATCTTCTCCAGCTGCCTTCACGTGGTTTCAAAAACCCGAAAGGACCGCGGGGCAGCCGCACATGCTTGGGGATGGATGGGGGAAATATCACGGCTGGCAACACTGCGATCGTGGGAGCGGCTCCGTGGAAGGCGCTGCCGGAGCCCCGCGGAGCGCGGGGCTCTGAGCCGGTAGGTGGAGCTGGGACATTTCTCCCCGGTCCCACCTGCAGCCCCTTCCCTTCTCCGGGCTCCGTTTCCCTGCCGAGGCCTTTACATTCGTCTCGTGCTCGGCCAGCTCTGCGGGGTGGGATGTAGCTACGGCTTCACCGCGAGGTCACGGAGACGAAAACTCTCCGTAACCCGAGGGGGATGAAGCTCCTGCGGGATGCGGCGTGCAGGGCCCAGGGATGGACCACTGCAAYGGGACTGCATTTTCTTTGGATGTGTGACCGGTAGAGACCCCGACGGAGCAGCTGTTGGCTCGTCGCGAGGGTCCTTGTAGTCCTGCTTTCTCTCCTTCTGCTGTCTTGTTTTTTGTTTGTTTGTTCGTTTAGAGTTACCCCAAAGTAAGTTTATTGCACGTTTAAAAAAGTCAAAAAGCAGAAACTCGAGAAATGTGTAATGGAAAAAAAAAAAAAAAAGTTCGGGGAGGAAGAGAGTACAGCTGAAAGCCGGGCGAGAGGGCGAATGAAAGCGGACCTGGAGCAGATGGGCGCTCAGACGAGTCCTGTCATCTGCGACCGTAGGAAGGGCAGCGAGGCAGCGGGGAAGGTGCCCAGGGGGTAGCTGACGGCGTTAGAAAAGCCCACCAAGGGGGGAGACATGTGAGGCAAGGCGAAGCCCAGGGCGCTCGCCGGTGAGTTCTCGTGGTAGAGGATGGGCACCCGCACTATCCTTTGGGCCGAGTGGGAGATGTTGGCCGCCTCCAGGTCGGCCGCCAGCTGTCTTTTCCACTTGTTGCGGCGGTTCTGGAACCAGATCTTCACCTGCGTCTCGGTGAGGTGCAGCGAGGCGGCGAGGCCGGCGCGCTCGGAGCTGCTCAGGTAGCGCTTCACGTCGAAGGTGGACTCGAGCTGGAAGACCTGGCTGCGGCTGAAGACGGTGCGCGTCTTCTTCTTGCGGCCGTGGGCGCGCTGCTCCGGCCCGCCGGGCTCC